GGACTTTTCTTAAGTGGAAGTAGACATTTAAGGACTTCGTAGTTTTGGAAGATGAGACGTATGTGCGTGGTGCTTACGTACTGCATGCGCCGATCGCGAGTCGTACAGTGAGCCAGGGAGATGAGCGTATGCTAATCATAATGGCGACAGCTACCGTCTGTGAAGTTCTTGGCTCTATGTCGAACAGCTCATTTAATCCTCATTACAGCACTGAGATACATAATCAGCATTTCATTGGAAGGATGAGATCATCTGGGGGAATTACTCACTAGGCTAAGGTCCTAGGGCTAGGAAGGATCCGAACAGGGCTGTGGATCTGATTTGTGCAGCCGTCAACGCTGGGCTCCTTCTAAGCAGCGACAGGTGAGGAGGGCTGAGCAGAGACATGGACGGAGAGATTCTGGGACGGCGGGGATGGATGGAATCATCAGGATGTCTTGGCTGAGGAGGTGGGACGTGTGTTCCGCTCGAGAGGACTGGCAGCCTTGGAGGGGCAGGGAGGCGGCAGCGAGGTGATCCCGGGTGGCTGGCCGGCAGCAGCAGGTAATCGTGGCTCCGGTGGGTGGGAGCCCAGAGGGCCACCTAGTGAGAAGGACACATGGAGCCTGGCAGCCCTAGGTACTAGCTGGGGCTGCGTGCTGGGGCCGCGAGAAGGAGAGCCAGAGGCACTGGGGAACCAGGGAGAGGCGTGTACTTGTTTACAGGGGACACCAGAGAAGGGGCGTTACCCACGTCTGGTTTCTGCGCACTGGGCTAGAACTCGGGAGGGAAGAGCCGCAGGAGACCGATCTCAGGTAAAAACGCAGCGTTGCAAAGATGCCCAGCTGCCGTCGTGGTTGCCCGGAGATGCTGACCATCAGTGGGGGCGCAGATGGCACGGGTCTCGTACACGCCGCCGAAGCTTGCGGACTGAGGCGAATGTGGGCATGGCGGCGTGTGCAGCCTGCCGCCGCAACAAGTCGAGTGATGTGAGTCTGAACCGTCCCATGCCCTTTCTGACACAGAGGCGGGAGGGTTTGGGCAGCTAACCGTGCCTTCCAGAGGCAGTAATAGCGGATGGCATTTCTCGCTCTTTGCAGGATTTGTCCTGCAGGGGGTCTTTTTCCTGAGACACTGCACGTGGGCCCTGGGAGCCCGGTCCTCGCCCCTGGAGCAGGCGTGTGGAGGGGACAGGTCCGCGTGGACCCGGGTGCCTCGGCCTGCGGTGCCGTCAGGCCACCTGACTCCTGGTTCGGCCCTTTTTACCAAATACTTTGTGACCTTAGCAGGTAGGTACTTTCCTTCTCTGAGTCCTGGTTTCCTCCTGTGGAAAATAAAGGCACTGGACCCCAGGGGCCCATCTGGCTTTCACATTTTGTGATTTAGGCATTAAGGTGAATAAAATTCCTTTAAAGTGGTGTTTGGGGTCCCACAAACCCGACAGCCCGTTTCTTTTCTGTTGTAGAAATAAATCAAGCCGCTACCAAACCGGAGTCGGAAGTTTACTTTAAATAGTAGAGGGGCAGGTCACAGGGGAAGCAGGTGGCTGTATTGAATTCTTTGTCCACTCTGCTGCCTAGATTTTATCCTTCTTTCCCTTTTTATGTCAGGCTGTGGAGGACACGAGAGCAGAGTCACTAGATTTAGTGCAAATGTCATTTTGCACAGGAGAAGGGAGTTCTGCTTCTCAGATGCAGAGAATATATCCAGAAGTGCCTCCGGGTGATTGCCCTGCTGCCGTGGGAATCATACATTCCATAGCCAGATCTTTTGTGTGGTGTGGGCATTTGGGAAACACGTTTGTTCTGGAAGCTAGTGACTTACACCTGTGTCCGGTGTAAGCATTGTTCCGTGACTCGCGATCTGCCGGGAGGAGGGTAGCGGGTGTGGGGGTTGGGAGGTGGAGCAGAGGAGGCAGGAGCCTCAGGGGGCCAGGCGGTGGCTCAAGGGTGGACGTGTCCCTGCTCGGCTTCCTGGCCTGTATCAGGCTCTTCACCGGTTTTCATTTCGTCTCTGCTGCCTGTGATATTTCAAAGATGACATTACTGGGAGGGTCAAGGGCTAAAATGCACTGGAACTGTTATAGAGGAGGCTGTAACGAGTCGTTCTGAGTGCAGAGCCCTCCGGCCTGTATTCCGGGCACACAGACTGGGGAGGAGGAGCTGACCATGCCCTTGGTGAGTCTCCGGTTCTCTGAGCCTTCATTGTTCCGTCAGAAGGTTGAGAATGAACTGTCTACGGTTGTAAGATTCTAGTTTTTAATAGAAGAAGTATCGGTAAGATAGTGATGTCAGGCACAGTTTGAGCGCTGACCCTCAAGGATGCACTTGTGTAGAGAGTCTGTTCCATGTTGTGGGAAAGAGATTCTTTGAGTGAACGAGCATCCACTTCTGCTTTGAGTGAAATGTACAGTCAGTGCGATGGTGTAACCAGCACAGGCGTTAGAACCCAGCAGATTTTGTTCAGACTCCCATCCTGCCTCTCGTCTCGAGCAGTGTGGCCTTGGGCTGGAACATAACCTTTTCCCATGTCCGTTGCTCCGTCTGTAAAATGGTGAAAATAAGCCCTGTCTCGAAGGGCTCGTGCGCCCATCACTCCAGCACGTGGTCGGCACTCGGCGGCAGCCCTGATTCCCCCCGGGGGGTGGGGGGGCCTCTAAGGAGGGCGATACCTTTGCCGGGGGAACAGAAAACCCTGGATATAACGAGGACTCGGGCCGGGAGTGCTGGAGGTCAGGTGCAGGTGTGTTTCCTGGCCCTGGAGAAGCAGCCCCCCTCCCGAGTGAGGGAGGGGTGGAGTGTCGGGCAGTGGAGAAGTTCCCCTCCCGGGAAGGGAAGTCCTCGGAGGCTTGTGGAGAAGGGCGCTGGGGATCTGTCTGTGGAAACTGAAGCCCAGTCCCTGGACCCCCGATTGCTTTGCCTTCCAGCGAGCGCGGGCTCAGAGCCGGGAGCGGGAGCGGCCGCACCGAGGACGTGGGGCAGACCGCGGCTCCTCACGCCTTCCGGGCGTCCCGCAGGCTTGGGGCCACCCTTGCGCGGGCGTACGTGTCCGTGAGTCTCATTCCTTCAGCCTCTCACTGCTGTGGTCTCGCTGCGTGGCCGCGAGCACATGGCTAACTGGAGGGGCTCAGCCACCTACCTGCCTGGCAGCCCTCGGCCACCTCTCTGAGCCCCCGTGGCTTCAGCTGTAAGCTGGAGGACAACAGTGTCCAACTCGCCGGGAGCTGAGTGAGCGCCGTGTAGACACTGGAGGCTGCTGTGTGAGCGCTTGCTGGAACACAAGTGAGCAGACCGGGGCTGGCTTCTCGTTCCCCCGCAGACGGGGGTGGGGGGGTGGGGGGGGAGAGGCGGTGTCACGTAGGTGCCTTTCACGCCGTGGGCCCTCCTTTACTTGCGAGCCATCCGTCACTCAGTCCTCAGGTGCTTTCTGCGCGCGCTGTACCGCGGGGTTGGGTATCCAGAGACAGTCAAGCACAAAACCCGCTCCTAGCCGACCGACCGGCTGTTTGGAGGAAAACAAACCCAGAACAAAGCCCCTGGGTGTCCGGTTTTCTGTGGAGCTGCTGCCAGAGGACTGAATCTTGGGAACAAAGGCAGAACCCCGTGGGGGGGAGCCGAGTGGGGAGGGTTGGTCAGAGCAGGCGGGGAGGAGGGGGTGCTGGGCCGGGAGAGAATCTTGGTTTGCGATTTCAGGTGAAATGGAAACCGTAGCAGGCAGCTCAGTAGAGCCCAATGAGATGCTCCCAAGTGCTCGGAATTCTCTCCGTTGGGAAGCTCAAATTTTGCCCTTGGCAACCAGCGTGCCTGTTGTTTACCTCGGCGTCGGTGAGGTCGTTCTGTGCCCTGTGGGGAAGGTGTCAGTCATACGCTCAGTCTGTATCCTTGCAGTTGGTGTATCGGGTCTTCTCTGGGGCCCCGTGACAACAGCAGCTCATTGTGACTTTCTCCTCAAACTGTTGTCTCAGTCTGCGGGAGAGGGTCTGCTCGCCTACTACCCGTGTTATCACCAGGGTGCCAAATAGGTGCATCCGCGGGGGCCGAGATTTAATAAAAGCAACGATTTGTACCGCTCCACCAAAGCTCTTTTTCTTTTGAAGTTTATTTTATTTTGAGAGAGAGCGTGAGCAGGGGAGGGGCAGAGAGACACTGAGGACAGAGCCTGACATGGGGGCTCAAAGTCACGAACTGTGAGATCATGACCTGAGCGGAGATCAGGAGTCAGACACTCAACCAATTGAGCCACCCAGCTGCCCCCCAAACACTTTTTCATTTCCCCCGCAGGAGCGTGGCGAGGTGCACAGTGGCCACTAGTTTACTTTGCCATCCCTGCGTCACTTTGTGCTTAGAGGCTGGTAGTTTAAGCTTCTTTGCCTTTGCACCATTAACGCAGGAAAAGGAGAATAATGCTTCAGTTTTACGAAAACATTGGACCACCTGCACGCCCTAGAAGGCTTTCGGGGTCCCTGACGACATGTCAGTGGCGGACTTCAGCCACGTAGCCTGGCCTTGAGTCGGCCGTGATCCTATAAGGGACATACTTGGTGAGGAGTCCGCACCCAAGTCCTTCTTGGCATCGGCGTCTTTGTCGTAACTGCACAAACACGCTCACAGCCTTCCCGGGGGTGGAGCCAGCCCTACGAAGGCAGAGTGCAGTGTTGAGTTTCTGAAACCGCATCCCAGTGGTTATTCGAAAACTCTTTGGCATTCTAAACTCCCAACCCCTTCTCAGCATTGACATTTGATATGTGACCCACACCGTGATATCAGGCGTTTGGGTCACGGCTCTGTCTGTGGGCCACATAGCTCCAGAGGTTCCCCCAGACGCAGATCGCCGCATCAGAGCAAAGGTGAAGGGGCGGTGCCTTTGTCTGGAAGGTGCTGCCTGAATCCGCATCGACCAGGCAAACTTGCCTCCCACGTGGGAACACCGTGCCCGGCCCAGCTGAAAGGAAACGCGCTTATCCCGTGGCGTGTGCGCCCCACTGGGTCTAACGGTGCCCTTCCTCTCTCCTTGGTTTGCAGCAATGGAAGAGTTAATAGTTGAACTCCGTCTCTTTCTTGAACTCCTGGACCATGAGTACCTAACGTCAACTGTCAGGGAGAAAAAGGCAGTGATCACGGACATCCTGCTGAGGATACAGGCATCCAAAGGTGCGTCTGCCCTTCTTCCTCCGGTGGCTTTTGCGTCTCAGCCATCTTTGATACCACTGTCTTGCAAGCACATCCATTTGTCCATTAAGGATGGGCCTATTTATTTCACCTCTGTGCCCTCCTCTTATCTGGAGCATCTGTGTGGGAGGGACATCGTGGGGGGGCAGAGGAGATGACCCAGAATACTTCCAAACAGTGTCTGACAAGCCGTAAACCCACAACCCACGGACTGTGATTTTCTCCTGTTGCTTTCTTCTCCCCCTTTAATATTTAGTTTTGAGAGAGAGTGAGTTGCGGTGGGACAGAGGGTGAGAATCCCAAGGAGGTTCCACGCCGTCAGCACAGAGCCCCATGCCGGGCTCAGACCCATGAACCGCAAGATCATGACGTGAGCGAAAGTCAAGAGTTGGATGCTCAGCTGACTAAGCCACCCCGGGGCCCCTCTCCTGTTGCTTTTATGAGCCGAGGAGGCCCTGCTGTCCAGCCCCGCGCCCTCTGCGTGTTCCCTTTGCTCGCCCTTCCCGACGGCCGGTCTCCACGCACCAGCGCATGTGGGCCTCCGGCCTCGCAGCCGCTGTTGTTGACTTTCCCCAACTCCCCTTTGTGTCTTCCTCCGCCCGGTGGGTTCCAGCCCTCTGTCTCCCCACGCTTTGCTCGGCACGCGCCTTCCAAAGCTTTCCAACTGTCTCGTTCTCCCCTCAGCTCTTTATTTAGCCGTGAACCCGTCCGCTGATGATTTTCAGTGATAGAATTCTCATTCGTTCTTTTTGTGTCTTTTTCACTGTTGCCAGCTCCCTGCCCGAATTCTCCACCGCAGCCTCTGGCACGCAGGGCTCTGGCTTTTCACAGCCCTGTTCCTGCCTGCCCAGCACACGCAGCCCAGGGCAGGGGGACGTTGTTGAGCGGGGCACGTGTGGGTCTTTCCAGGTGGGCTCCGGCCCATGGATAGTCCCGCACCCAGGCTAAACCTGGCTCCTTCCACTTTCCTGCCTCGGCTGACATGGCGCTAGCTGGGTCTTCTCAGAGTTACTTGTGTGTGAACTTGTCTTCCCAGCCTGAACACGAATCCACCGAGAGCACGAGCTCATGCCAGCCATGGCACGCGCTGTGCCCGTCTGTCCTGGCGTCTGACTTTAAGAGGACGCCTGATACAGGGGCGCTGGGGTGGCTCAGTGGGCTGAGCGTCTGACCCTAATTTTGGCTCAGGTTATGCTCTCAGGGTTGTGGGATCCAGCCCCACATCAGGTTCTACGCTGAGCATGGAACTTGCTTGGGATTCTCTCTGTCTCTGTCTCTCTCTCTCTCAAATAAAAAGAATTAAAAAAGGGCACCTACTATGCACCTGCTGATTCCCAGGGAAGCACACGCCCCCTGAGTCCGCAGGTAATCCCTGCCCTGAGCGGAAGTTCAGGCAAAGCGCCTCCCGTTCGCAAGGCCGTGTAGCACTGGGAGGGATGTGGCTTTTGTGGTACCTCTGTCATTTCCACCCGCTCCTGTTTCCGTGAGCTCCGTAACCTTTCCCCAGCCAGAGATTCCTCACCTGTGCACTCGACAAGGACACGATTGCTGTACACGATTAGAGACACCAAGTTTAAGCAAAGCATTCAAGGTGGGGCCGAGGGAGCAAGAGCCGCTAGCGGCACCCCCACCCCCCTCCCTGCACCCCTCCCCTCCTCACCCCGCTCTGTGGTTTCTCTTGACCCTTACAGGTTTCGAGGTGAAAGAGCATGCTCAGAAGCAAGAGACCCCCAGCAGCCTGCCGGCCCCTCCCCAGATGCCCTTGCCGGAGATCCCTCAGCCATGGCTGGTGAGTGAGGCTCCCACCGCCGCAGCGGCAGAGTCCCCGGGCCCCTGGCCAGTCAGGGCTCGGGTCTGGGGGGAAGGAGGCCTGGCTTACTAGAGGTTCTCCTCTGAGTGGTTTTTAGGGCTGCCAGTAACGGCCAAGTGGAAGGCTCTTAACTGGCTTCCATTGGGAGGCTGGTGTTTCCTTAACAAGTGCTTGAGTTCCTGGTTTGGGGGAATCTGTTGTGAAGTCCAATTTCTTTGTTTAAATGAGAGGCTTTAGCAGGTACCACAGTGGCAGCAAGGCCTGGGGACCGTCCGTCTGGGTGAGCTGTGGATTTGAATACCTCAGCCTGAAACTTTGATATTCGCTGTTCTGCCTCTCCTGGGGTAAAAATCCATCCGCATTCCAGGAATGTGTGGTCAGTTTGGTTTGATGCATTCGGAATCTATTTTGGAGGTCTTCTGCCACTCCCGCGGTCTTGGGGTGCTGTCACACGCACCTTCTCGCAGGCCTCGTAGGTTTTCCAGCCTTGCTGTGTTCTCGTCTGCTTACTCGGGAAACGTGGACTTGATTCAAAACCAGAGCAAACTTGGTTACTCGACAGTTTGCTTTTTAATGTTTGCTTTCAGTATGGGACATGTCGCCATCTCGCCCCCAGGACGAGGGCTGCAGGAGAGCAGGGCCGGGGTCATTGCCTCCCGTCTCTGCCTGGGCCCCCGCCTCGCGGCCGCTGTCCACGGGACACCCATCAGTTACCATTTTAAAGGGGACAGAGGACATTAGCACCTGTTGGCTCCCTGCCGCCTATCACACGTCTCACTCATTGTTCTTCCACTTACAATTTCATGTACTCCTCACAGCTTGACCTCAGAGAACCGTGTGGCACCTGACCACGTGACTAGATGCAGACCCATTTTCCAGACCAGAAAATTTAGGTCTGTGAACATACGTGATTTGTTCAAGACCACATGATAGGCAGAAAAGGCAAAAATTGTAGCGGGTTCTTTGGATTCACATCCAGTCTTTTCTCAGCACTGCTGTTTTGGCTACACAGCCGAGGCCAGAGCCTGCTGCTACTGGAGAGAGCCGAGCTCCCCGCCAGTCACGGCCCCCAAATCCCCGGTGATCCTGTGAGAACTCACCTTCTGATCCCTAGGTCCGCAGGGCGCCTTCAGTGCTGCGTCTCAACAGGTCCCTCTATAAAATTGAGGGGGAAGCCCCAAAAGTAAATAAAAGTCACTCACTTTTCCTTCTTCCTGGGAGAGAGCCTCTGTCTTCCTCCACCTGGGCCGTCTGGGCGGGGGCCACAGGCCTCAGGTCCGAATCCCGATGTGCCCTAAGTGGCTCGTGCACATGGAGTTCACAAGGCTTGGGCTGAGGAAAAGGCTGTGGACCTCACCTTAGTAATGACCATGTTGCCAGCACGGAGGGTAATGAGTTGAGGAAGGTACAGCAATATAGTCAATTCCATCCATTTCTGTGGCCACTAGCCCAGTACATACGGGGCTCACCTGCACACTTGTCTGTTGTTTCATTCACTTAGCGTTTCCGCAGTCGAGAGTGTATTGAATATATGATTTTTATACTCCACGTTTTATCTTTTTAACATGATGTCTTTTTTCCTCTTTATGCATTTCTTTAAATTATTTATTTCCTTTTTAAAACTCATCCCGTTTGTTGTAGACACTGTGACTTGATGGCTTTTCTTTTTTTCCATGTGTCATTTGTTGTTCGTAGATGTAAGGCGGAACCGTAGGCTGCAAGTGTTTGTCCTCATACACGTTGTTTCTCTGAAAGAGGCAGAACTGGCTGCAGGTCGGTGGTTCATGCCTTCCTGGGTCTTCTGGTTCACATGTACTTTCCTCCCTAAGCTGCCCTGAGCCCGTGGCCCCCATGCTGTGGCTCCTCTTTCATCCCTACCCTTCAGGTCGGAGAGGGGTTTCCCGGTCACAGACAGCTGGGAGCAGCCACCAGAGTGGGGACGCTTCTGTGAATTTCACGGACTCTTGACTGCCACGTAAAGTGCCACGTACCTGGTCTGGACTGAGCCACGCGTCCCAGATGGGCCAGGCCAAATGGACAGATGGCCACTTTCGGTGTCAGTGTCTGACAGAGCATGCTCCTCAAATAGCCAGCACTTTCTGCCATTTTGACCTCCACATAGTCAATCCGTTCCCCTCCTGGGTTTTTCCTCAGATGCGGTTTGCTGTTCATTCACTCGTTTGTGCTCTGTCTCTCCTGTTTCTCACCCTGCCAGGCTTACGCTCTGCCCCTGCCTTTGGCTGCTGTGCGCCAGACTCTCCTGGTCGGAGGTGCACAGGGAGCCCTCCTACCAGTGGCCGCTGGGTCACAAAAGTGCTGGTTAGGGCACCTGGGGGGCTTAGTCGGTTAAGCGTCTGACTCTTTTATTTTTATTTATTTCTAGGAGAGAGAGAGAGACAGCGCGAGCAGGGGAGGGTCAGAGAGAGAGGGAGACACAGAATCAGAAGCAGCTCCAGGCTCTGAGCTGGCAGTCAGCACAGAGCCCGACGCGGGGCTCGAACCCACGAACCACGAGATCATGACCTAAGCGAAAGTCGGACGTTTAACCGACTAAGCCACCCAGGCGCCCCTAAGCATCTGACTCTTGATTTCGGCTCAGGTCATGATCTCCCAGTCATGAGCCTTGGGTTGGGCTCTGTGCTGGGCTTGGAGCCTGCCTGAAATTCTCCCTCTCCCTGTGCCCCTCCCCGCCCACGCACACACCCTCTCTGTCAACAAGACACAATCAAGGCAAACAGTATTTGTATTAAGGGAATTCCAGAAGGAAAAGAAAATGAGTAGGGAATGATGGGTACAGAAATTAAATTTTAAGCAGTAATGGCTTAAAACTTCCCAAAC